TCCTCACCCACATGATATCTTGCGTATTAAAACCAGTGTCTTTGAGCCCGACCGGGCCAGTATACCGCAGTCAAGAACTCAGTTTTACCCTACACATTAAATAGTTGTAGTAAAAATAACAACAAATGCCAAATTTCCTTATTATCATAATGTCAGACTGAATATAACCCGCCATATTTTTATCAAAAATTCTAATGCTTATTTCACCAAAACTGGCTGCGTGCCACTCCACATTTGCCACAACCCCAGCACTTATTTAAATGCACATAGACATAGTTGGACAGGCTGATTATGGGGCAAGTATGCCTAACTGGGGAGGAACATACGAAATTTCGATACGGCCAATCCGCTTACAGCGATGGACGTACAGTGGCGACGTGAGAGTAATGGGTATAAATGAACCCAGGTCACACGATTTGTGACCGTTGTGTTGCACCGCATCAAGTGGAAAAGGAAGTCTGAATATGTCGCAATACGTAGTTAGCGGACATTCGGATGACCCACAGCTATTAAATGAGCATGCAAACGGGACTGTGGAGAACACGATGGGGATCATTTCGAGGCCAGGGCGATTTATTTGTCGGTGAGCATTAACCTGGTACACGATTGCAAAGTTCAAATATGATGCACGTATACACAGAAATGTATTGATTGTGAGGAATCTGCAGACTAATATTCATCTGTCATTTACCTTGGCTGTCCAATCTAGAGGTCCTAGTCTCGTTACATTGACATCCTTAAACATTGTTTTAGTTTACAGACTGTCTTCTTAGACCACTTACTGATTTCAGGATGAGCTCTAATTTCCAGTCGTTGGGTCTGCTTTTCTGTACGGATATATTAGAAGAATCTAGCAAATGATCAGAAATTATAATAGGTCTGTAGTAAAGCAGACGTGCTATGGAAAATAAGCGGCCCACGCACTGATGCTACACGAGTTATTGTCTCAGAAGGATAACATGACATTTTTACACTAACACCCATGAGTCAGGCCAAGGATTCCCGTAGTAAATGAAAGCCATATTCGTATCCTGAAATAATGAAATTTGCACGGAGTTCTTGCACATTGTGGAAAGTGTAATAGCAAATCCCGACCTACGGTTGCTGTTTGTTAAATGGTCTACAAAGCATTTACTTTTAGAAGTATCACATTCCAGTTAACAGGGATGCCAACGAACAAGCGTGAAATAAAGCTGAGCCACATTTTACCTTAAATTTGAAATTGCATTTAAGAATAATTAGAATGTGTGCACTTTTCTTGCATTTCAGTTACATGGCAACTTGATCCGTGCTTTTACTTGTAATGAAGGGATGATAATAAATGTTCACCATATATTCGGATAATATGTAAGCCCCACTTGCGGTCTAACGGTTGGACTACCCGTTTACCTATCTGGTAGTCTACATTGCGCAACCCAGTGGGTCATGCAGCATGCAAACCTATTATACCAGAAGCAAGATGTTCTTGACAGCTGGGTCTTAAATGATGCATTTTACTAAGAGATTTCCATCAACCAAATGTGCGCTTACAACACGTTCTTGCAAAAGAACAGTGCTTTAGTACATACTAGGAAGCGAGCAATGTGTATTTGCAGATACCACTCGTCCGCTTCTGACTTGGTAACCTAATTGTACCAATATGACGCTTTGATAAGTTCGGAAGGTTTCGAATTTAAATCGGTCTTGAATGGCTTATATTTTGCCAACCTTGTCATTTCACATAGTCCAGAACTCAGCTGTACTATTCCTACTGCACATGGTTTAGATGCATAGCCTTGTCACCCAATCTGGTCACTATAACAACTTGGAATGCGCTACAGTTCACATAAAATACTATCGCTTATAAGGTGTTGTGTTACACCACATCCTAGGCAGGTCAATGGGATTCGTAGCCGGTTGAATTGTATGTGCTACAAAAGAAATGTAGATCGGTAACGGGGAGGTGCTCGCAATGCCGTCGACGGACGATAGGGGTCTCTCTGGTCGGTGATGTTGCATAGTGAACACGAATTCGCTGTTCAGTTTGTTCCAAAGAAAAGCGAACGGTAAGTTTTCCTAGTACTTTCGTTTACAGAGGAACTCCGCATATCGTTCCTGCCCACCGTTGTCCTATTGCTCCAGCTTGACATATTTTCCACATGGGCAGCTCTCCATAACTGTTGGGTGTGCGATTTTAATTCGCTGTTTCAGGGGCTACCAACAGTTGTCATTTAGGATTTGGGTCCTATGTGCAGCACATGTT